ACCCCACTCACATCTGACAGTATGCAGTTATTACCCATCAATAGATACTAAGCAAGCACAGCCACAGTAGAGCCTTAACAACCAATGTTGCCTCATGAAAAGCATTTATTTTTCTTTATTTTGTAATTTTGTTTTGTTCAAAGAGAGAGTTTTGTCTGTTATTATACACGTAATTTAAGAGTGATCTGTGTGTATACCTCGGCCTGGTGTTTTTTTTATATATTTGTTGCTTTCTAACAGGGGCTGAGTCTGACCCCAAACGTAGATTCAGAGGTGAGATTAAAGCAGAAATGTTGTCCTGTTCAGCGTGTTGAAGACTTCATATGACTACCATGTAGCCAAAGTCTTAAAGCCTTCAAACTGATTTGCACCTTCAAAATGAAGCTGCAGATGCTGCCAATATTCAGTTGTATTCCTAAATATTTCAAGTATCTGGGGTTTTTTCCTCAGATTTGTGTTGCTAATAGTACTGTAGAGATGCAAGACTGAAATATCTTGATAACGTTTGATAGACTGGCACAAATTGTTACTTATTTTTTAGATTTGCATTTGCTAGCATCCCAATTAACACTTGAACATTTGTTATGACTTTACGAGTCATTTCTATTTATTCTACAGATGTTACAAGAAATATCCAAAGATTTAGCAGCATCTGAAATGATTTCCCTGAGTCACCCTCCGTCCTCTGAGCCTCTTTCTCCCAAATCTAACTTATTCATTTGTATTTGTACTGTAGAAGTTTCAAAGTACTGTATAGGGAGATTGAGTTCAGATTCAGCCCCTTTAGCAGGTTTGTCTTTTTGTCGTTCACTTCAAACGGGAGCAGGGGACAGGTGGGATTTTAATCCTCCCTCTTCCCCCNCCCCCCCCCCCTCCTCTTCTGTGTATATTTCTGGAAGGTAATTTAAAAGCAAGATGTATAGGAGCTGTTGTGGAGAAACAGCAGGGGACCTCTGCCATCCGCCTGGGTAGGGTGGCATGCCGGAGGCCGAGCTAATTGCTTCATTTCACTTTGTAATTTACAAAATCACTGCTGTAGAAGGGAAACCACACATCTGCAAACAGATTATTTCAGAAATAGACATGCCTGCGGGTTTTAGAAACGATATTATGTCGTAAAATCCAACTTGTGTGTCAAATATTAAGATTGCAGGTATGTGGTTTTTGCAATAACAGCAGAAAAAAAGCAAGTCAATTGCTGCCCGGGTCTGTAAATAGTAACATATAGTGCTAGCCTAATCTCCCCACCAGTTCGTAACTTTGTTGTAGATTTTCGGTGTCAAAACAAGTGTTTATGTATAAGCATAATCAAGAAAAACTTTAAGTGTCCATTGAGGAAAAAATAGTGTCTGGTATATAAAAACACTTTACATGACGATGATGTTGGTTAGCCTTAGCTCTTAACAGTGTTTATCCACCTGTGATGGCCATCAGTGCTTATTTCAGAGTTTTTGCTGTTTAAAGGAAAACAAATGAGTGTTTCTATGTGTTCATCACGCCGTGTAAATACATCTCTTCTCCTCTGACCCCCTGCAGATAGATTAGTCCCACTCTGGCAGACCAATGCAATATTTATGTGAGTAATAAGTCTATTATGTGGATCCATCTCTTTGTCATGTGCTCAGTAACTGTACGTCTGTCACAAATTACATGTGGCGGTGTTTAAAGACATCTTCATGGGGGTTGTTTTGTTCCAAGCAGCCACTATGACGAGGATTTTAAAGCTAAGCTAGCTGGTGGATTCTGGGGGAAATCGTATCGGCCTCGTTAGTGTGCGATGTCTCTGAGAATAGCCCTGCCGTGTCACTGATCCCCTCCTCACTGTTTATTGTAAAGTGATAGATTAGGCTTCACCTAGTTATGCACCTGTTTTTTAAACACTAATATATTTTATTTGTTATACAGCACATGAACATTAAACTTTATTTTTTTGAACTCTATTGTGAGGTGCTTTCTGTGATCTATAGAGGATGTAACAAAATGCCTTTCCTCCTTATTCTTCTTCTTCTCCTTTAAGTTGGACCAGCTTCCTTTAAAGGAGTTTCTCTGTCTCCTGTTTGTGTTGTTGTTCTTCTTCTTGGGTTTTTTCTGCTGTTGCATTGAGATGAATCCCTGCACAGGCCCATTTGCATAAGCGTCACATCGACACATTGTGAAACTGGCTGATGACTCACTCTGACGCAGGTCCTTTTTTCACATACTTCCCATCATCCTCCCTCCTAACACACAGACTGCCAAGGCACACA